CCAAGCCCGGCTGATTTTTTGATTTATTGTAGAGATGAGGTCTCGCTGCCCAGGCGGGTCTCGAACCCGTGGGCTCAGGCAATCCACTCACCTCAGCCTCCCAAAGGCGCGGGATTACAGGCTGAGCCACCGAGCCCAGCTAAGATTGATGTTTTTATCCACTGCCTTTGATTCCTTTTCCTTCACAATGACAGGGAAGACGGGTCCAAGATGGAGTTTTCAGACCATTCCCTGGTCCACTCTCTCCTCCTGTCCTGCAGCAACAGGTGCTCTTGTGCATGCCTGGGGTGCATGTCAAGTTCCATCCATCCCCCATTACCTGCAAACAGCTGACCTTGGTCACTTACCCTGCCTCAGGGTGCACAGTCAGCACAGTGAGCTCTTGAGAGGACCTGGGTTATAGGAAATTTCAGGGTCCCAGAGTACAGTCTAGAAGGGAAGGAGATGCATGACCCCTCTCCCCAGTTCCTTGGTCCTGTGGACTCACTCTCCAGTGTGGAGGGGCATGACCAGAGGAGGGCCAGAGTGAGGTCCTCTAAAACCAGGAGCCCAGGACTGAGGATTCTGTTGCCCAGGCCTAAGGGTGACATTGATCTGAACACTCTTACGAGGTAAATATCCTTCCATTCACCATTTTGTAGATGAGGAACATAGGCTCCTCCAGAAGATTGTGGAACTTGCTCAAAGTCAGACAGTAACAAATGGTGGGTCTGCCAGGGCGGCTTCCCTCCATAATGACAATGAGGGAAGGAAGCAATCCTCTCTCGTCAGCATTTCGCATTCAACTTCAGGGGGTCCACGACGGCTCTGAGGGTTAAGAGGGTGGTGATGAAGGTTCCTTGGGGTGCCCGCAGCAGGGGCCAGGCCATGAAATGGGGGCGGGTCTCCAAGTTCCAACCAGTCCCCAGACGGGGTCTGCGGAGGAGGGTAGGGCTCGCATGATTAGAAAGGGATGCTGGGAGACTGTCCACGTTATTTACCCAGCCACCACCCCAAATAGCGCCGCTGGCGGTGACTTCGGGGTGGTGAGTGGGAGAAGACTTGCTGGCTCACAGCTTCACCTTAGCCCTCTGACCTGCTGTGACCCTGGCTCGTCCATTCCTGGCCCAAAAGGAAGGCCGAAGAAGTCTGCGGGTTCCCAAGGAAATGGGAAACTTGGAGGAGAGTGAAAGGGCGGAATCCGAGGGGGTGGCCTAGGTGGGCAAAATGAGAAGTAGGGGTGCCGCGGGAGGGCGAAGTGGCAAACGGGCGAACTGGCCTGTTCCCTAACCAGGAGCACCGAGACTTCTGAGGAGTCCCTGGAGAAATAGGGGAGGTTTGGGAGGGCGAAGTGGG